GTGTTGAGGCCCCTTCCTTTGCGAGGCCATCTGCTTCTTCATTACCTTCTATGCCTCGATGACCAGGCAGCCACATCAGCGTTACCTGGTTGTGTGTCGCTAGTGTTTTTAGGGTCTGTTCACACTCCCAGACTAGTTTTGACGTGCATTTGAAAGCCCTCAAGGCTTTTAAGGCAGCTTGGCTGTCCGATAGTATGAAGATGTATTTTCTATTGAGGTTTTGGCTAAGACACTCTCGTGCACATATATCTATGGCAAGCAGTTCGGCTTGAAATATTGTAAGATGTTTACCCAATGCATTGGAGAGCTTGAAGTTAGGGCCGGAGATGCCCAGTCCAGCTCCTTCCATTAGCCTGGATCCATCTGTGTACCAAAATGTGGCAATTCTTTATTCTCCCATGATTGGCGGTCGTTTATTACCACTGCGAATGGGATCTCTAAGTCCAATCTGACGAAAATCATGTGGTCGCTTGGTTTGCTGGCATTCTCCAGTTTTATCAGACCAAGGATTCGCAGATGTCCCCTCAGATCACCAGGCTTGAACTTGTCTATTTGAAATAGCCTGTGAGCGCTGGTTATTGCCTCCTTTTTCACACATAGATGAGGTGGGGGCATGTTGAGAAGCGTCTCTAAGGCTGCGGTGGGGCAAGTTGACATTGCTCCTTCCTAGACATATCAGCCTTTGCACCTTTCTGAGCTTGATCTGAGCAGTGACTTGTTGGGTTTTGGGCCACCAAACCAATGAGGCATATGTTACCATGGGTTTTATTATAGTTTGGTAAATCCAGAATACCATCTTTGGCTTTAGCCCCCATGTTTTGCCAACAAGTTTTCGGCATGACCAAATGGCTGATGTAGCTCGAGAGCATGTTTTCTCTAACTGTTTGTTCCAAGTGAGGGTTCGGTCCAGGGTGACCCCTAAGTACTTCACTTCGTTGGAAAATGTTAGTTGTGTGCCTCTAAGGGTTGGGGCTTTCAGATCTAGCCTCCTTCTTCTTCTGAACGGGACAAGGAATGTTTTGTTTGCATTTAGGGATAATCCTTCGCCTTCGCTCCAATTTTTACCGATGTTTAGGGCACTTTGCATTCGGTTTGTCACTACGCCTTCATGTTTGCCCTTGATTACAATGGCTAGGTCATCTGCGTAGCCTATGACCTGGTATCCAGCACTACTCAGTCTGGTAAGAATTTTGTCTACCACCAGTGTCCATAGTAGTGGAGAAAGAACACCCCCTTGAGGACACCCTCTGACCGTGGTAGCGGTAGCTGATGCTCCGTTTATTTCAGCCGTAACGTGACGGTGTTTCAGCATCGACTCTATTCATTTTACAATTGGAACTTCAACATCCCATTCTTGTAATGCTCTAGCGATTGATGATGTGAGGTGTTGTCGAAGGCACCCTCTATGTCGATGAAAGCTGTGAGAGCGATATCTTTGCATTCGATTGTCTTTTCAATGACTTTAACCAGGCAGTGTAAAGCACTTATTGTAGATTTGCCTGGCTCATAAGCAAATTGCTTCGAGTAGAGCGGTCTTCTCAATAGAGTTTCGCTTCTGATGTACTGGTCGATTGCTTTCTTCATTGTCTTGAGGAGAAAGGAGGTAAGACTAATGTAACGATATAATTTTGGTTCGTCCTCGGGTCGGCGACCCGTTTTTGGTATGAATATCACATAAGATTCCCTCCAAGATGTCGGTATGTGCACTAGGAGCAGGCTTGCCTCAAAACGCTTTTGTAGGTATACCTTTAAGTACTTGTAGCCTTTTTGCAGTTGTGCGGGAAAAATCCCGTCTTTGCCTGGAGATTTGTAGGGTCTGAAGCTATCGATCGCCCATTTTATTCTGTTCATTGTAAAGATTTTCCCAGCCAGCCTTTTGCTCCTACCGTTAGGGCTTTGTGGCCCTTCGATAGAGGGAGTGACCTGGTTCAGGGCTTCAACGATTACCGAACCTGGAAAGTGAGTTTGTAATAGTACCTCTAGACTTTCTATATGGTCGGTACAGTGTTCTCCGTTTGGCTTTTTAAGCAGACCAATTCCGTTTGAGTGGTTTTTTGAAAGAACTTTTCAGAGACGTTGAGCTGGGGCTAATTCGTCAATCTCCTCGCAGAATTGTCTCCATGATTTCCTTTTTGATTTTCTTAATTCACGGTTGTACTTGTCTAGGGCTGTTCTATAGTCTGCCCAGTTGCCGTTAATTTTTGCCTTATTGAACAGTTTTCTGGCATCTTGTTTCAGACGTCTCAGCTGCTCGTTCCACCAAGGCACATCCCTGTGGACTGCCTTCTGTTTTACGGGACAACTGTTCTCATAGGAATCTTTTATTGCATTTTTTAGATTGTCAGATGATGGCTCTAGCTCTTCTATTGTATTTATGTCAGAAGGGAGTTCATCTAGACTCAGGCAGAGACCCTCCACAAAGGATACCCAGCTGGTGAGTTTTGGTATTCTCGTCTGTACTGAGTGATTTATAACTGCCTCCAAGTCGAACCTTATTGCTTGATGGTCCGACAGGGAGGGTTCATTTGACACAAGCCAGTTGGTTATTGTGTTAGATGTAAATGTGTCAGCGAGAGTCACATCCAAGACCTCTTGTCTGACGGCGTTAATGAAAGTGGGTTTGTTGAACCTGCTAGGAATAGATTACAAACCCCTATTAGAAGAGGATATCATACAATCCAAGAATGTGATGCAGCACGTTCTAAGAATGTCTTCATCACATGATTTGGGAAATATCTTTTGCATTTCCAAAGAATGTTCTAAGGTAGTGCTATTCATGTTCTGTTATAAGATGCTAAGGACATGATGATCATGTGATAAGAACGCGCATTGGTATGTTCACAGTACGTTCCCCAGCATGTGCCGAGTATGTTCTCACAGTCTTAAAGCCTTTTTCATGTGGTTTGATATCGCCATTCAAAATTACAAACCATTTCCAAGATAATGCTTGTTCACAATTTAAATTATCAACAGTTAATATCCTCAAAATGATTTGGAATTTTTTATTTATTAATATCAATCAAGGAAAATAGAAACAATATAAATTTAGAAAAACACAAAAGTATTTAATTCACTTAAAAAGTGAGGCTACCCTTCCATTTTTCTTTTAAACTGTACCCCATATCCTTCTTTCTTTCGTTTGGGTACCATTAATTAAATATTTTTTTTTAGTGGCTTATAACACAGAGAGAAAGGCCTAATAGCCAAATAAATAATCTGCCTATAAAATATAAACTAAAAATAAAGAAACATAACCTAAATTGCCTAAACCTACCTTCTACTTTATCAATTGAAATGAAATTTTGCGCATGCGTGTTCACGACATATTCGCAAACGCATGATGATTGAACGGTAGTGGAATGTATTTATCACGTGCTAAGGATATTCTTTTTACTCATCTAGAGGAATATTAGTATCATGTGACAAGATGGTTTTCTATTGGAATGTACCAAAGTCGAATATTCTTAGCATGTGCCATATGGATGTTGATGTGCTAAAAACATTCTCGGTCCGGTATGTTCTATAAACGCATATTCTTAGGAAGTTCGCTATATTCTCGGGAGGGATGTGAATAGCATGTGCTATGAACATTCACAGTTAGGATATCTGGTTTTGTATCTAGACTTCTAGACCGCATATTATTAGAACGTGAATGTACCTTTTCATGTTCACTGGGTAAAGGCACACTGCGACTGTTTCTCTGATGTAAAAAGACAGAAAACAAAAACTCGACAGCAACTAATTTTTGTCTGTTTAGTGTGAACACTTTTATCGTTAAAAACAATCGCGAGTTTTTGTTTTCTAAAACAGCAACAAAACAGCAACTCAACTAGTCGGTTTAGTGTAAAACCGCCATAAGGCGTTTGTAGAGAATTTAATTGGCTTTGATTTAAACTTAATTACATAAAGATCGGATTGAAATTAACAAAGTTATGAGACAAAATGTGGGTCAATGTTTCTTGATCCATTCTCTACAAATCATCTTTACACGTTTCTGTGTAAAGTATTTGGGGATACAACTAATAGACTGTGAGATAGGGGCTGTGGAGTAATTTTTTTTTGTCTGGCATTTTTAGGGATGAATGTGGCTACTAAGCATGAGAATATGGGTGATTTTAATGCAGGCCCTCCGTTCGAAAATTTGCAGAAGAAAAAAATTGATTTACATGAAGAATTATTTTTTAAAGATCTCAAATTTTCTAGCTTTTGAATAAAACATTGACATTGATAAATAATTCACCCATGAAAAATATCAGATGCTTTTCAATAGCTGAAAAAATGGGGATGGGTGTCAACTTCCAAGAGAAAAGAAAAGAACCTTCCGCGTTTACTTTTTGTCTGACAATCGAGAGAATGAAAGGTTTTGATGTGAAAATAACGCTGAAAAATCGCCAGACGGTAATCACAGTTCGAAATCGAATTTTCCGGCGAAACATTATGTGGACATTTCGAACAGGAGGCAGGCATTAAAACCACTTATATTCTCATCAGCTAACTAGTCACATTCATCCCTCAAAATGCCAGACAAAAAAAAATTACTCCACTAAACAGGCCCTATCTCAGGGTCTATAACCTAAATAACAAAGTTATGAGGCAAAATGAAAGAGCTTGCTGATTTGATAAATGCTTTCACCCTAAATAGCTGGCTATTATTTTGATCAATCTTAATAAAATAAGGTTCTTTTTTGATAATGTATAATTTAGCAAAGAAGTAAAGGAACATTGTCCTTGTTGAGAAATTCTCCAAAAAGAATCTTGACTCACTCCAATTACATCATTAAATTCTACTAACATTGAAATAAAACACAAAAGTAATGCTTCTCTCTATTATTTTACTAAGTACCTTCCAAATAATATATAATCCCTTTTACATCTCTCAGTTATATAAATGATGGTTGGCTTTATAATTTCTCAGCAAAGTATAATACGAGTAAGTCCATTTCAAAATCTAAAATCAATTTACAATAATACAAATACTGCAGTGACACAACCATTCTTACCGAAATAAATGTGTCCAGGGACAACGTTATTAAACTGAGCCCTTTTACTTCTATGGGCCTTTTAGTTCTTTCCATTAGAATAAACAAAGAACGTCTCACTCTTGGACTACATTCGTACCAAGAGGAAAAGTAGCAAGAAGTTACAATTTCTAAACTCTAGAAATGATGTTATGGAACAGCTACATTTTTCATAATATTAATTATTACCTCATGGTAAACGAAATTACCAAACCAACAATACAATCCCAATTCGGCCAGCATAGAAATTGTGTAGCAAATTAGAGCTATAGCTTCTGGGGATATTGGGGATAGCTGAAAATGTGTTAATAAAAATCGAGTTAATTGACTTATCATTGAACTACTTTACTGAGCTGAGTAGCATTAAAGTATTGCAAATCGATACACAACCAGTGACCATTTGGATGAAGGAAATTATGCTGAAACAATCTTGTAAACATTTTGAAAATCTAGAAAAACTATAGCATTAGAAACTAAAAACTGAAAAAGTTGTTATACATTACTCTTCAATGTCGCTGTAATGGATGCAGCACTCTTTTAAATATTCCAAATAAAATTTTTCCGAATTTTCTTTTGAATAATCGGGTAAACTTTGAACATTTTTCTTCATATCAATCAACTTCATGTTCAACTTTCTCAATTGAGTAGCTGAAATCATTATGAAACCCACAGAAAGCAAATCCAAACAAAAATTAGTGTAGCCACAAATGTATAACCCAATAACTTCAAACATGTAAAAGGGATAATAGAACATGCCTGAATTAAAATATTTAAATTCCAGTGGTAAAGGTTTATCTGATTCCCAAACTAAAAATATTTATTATTTTAAACTTCCACTAAAAAAAAATTATACCAAATTATTACTAGGCCAAACAGCTAAACAAAACAAAGTAATGTTGCATTGGAAAACAAAAGCAACTTGAGTACCAACACAAAGTTTCTTCAATTGCCTCAAAACTGAATTGTATTGGTCGTTGTAAGCGATAAAACTGGGAGTTTCAAGCATGTCGATGCACTTGAAAAACTCCTCTCGCTTGTAAGTCATAATCACAAACTTAAAAAAACTATTGAAAATTGTTATGTGCATGTAAAGGCTTTCGGAAAGCTTGACGAAGTTGCCTACTTGAAGGGCTACTTGGTAGGTCAAGCATAAGCCCAATGCAAGAAGGGTGCCCATTGAAATGATGGTACGAATTCTGTAATAAATTGTTAAAAATATAGAAAAATTCAAACTTATTATTACCTGTAAACTAATGAAAACTCTGTAGTAGGATAAATTGCCATAATCCAAAGCAAAATTCTTGGAATTTTGATGAACTCAAACATATTGGACATGTTGATATATTGAAGTGTTTTATAATATAATTTGGTGAGGTATTATTTTGAGGCTTTATTAATTAGGGGCGTGATGAAAAAGAAAATAAAAAAAAAATGGCCAATTGATGATTTGGCCCTGCAATTAGGTATTTTGTTTTTATTGGATAACAGGTTATTATATAATTAGAAGGAAATGACATAATTTATGCCCTTCTGATGAAAATAGGTCAATAATTATTATGTATGAGACAATCTCAATATGGAAATTTTATTCAGAGGTGCAATTGAACTGGGAAAGTATCAAACTCCTTTTTCTGACGATTTGAGCTTTGAGAAGTTCATTATGCATCCTCATAGGGCTGAAATTCGTGTAAGAAGAATAAAACTCCTTTTACAGGTTTTCTCAGATTTGTGAACTCCAATTTCCGACCATTACTGAGTTAAAATTAAGCTGTTTCTGTCACGGTTTTCTGTAGTTTTAAAGGCTAACAATTTAGTACTTTTTGAAGATACCTTTTCGTACTATGAAAAAGAATCGCTGTGCCAGTACACTGCAGCGGCCGCTGAAGCTTACATAGTCGATTATATTATCAGAACCATGCTGTCTATGTCCATAATAAAACTCGAAAAACAAAATTTGAGAAAAAATCAAAGAAAGGTATTTTAATGGGGTAGGTACGTTTCTAATGGGTATAAAATTTGGGATGTTGAAAAGGAGAATTTTATCATAGCTCAAGACGTAATAATCGATGAGCTTAATAACAAAGTCACTAGGCCCAATAAAAGTGGCACTGAATCAATATACCTGCCCAAAACTAATAGAACCTACTCAAATTCGGAAAAATTTGTAGATTCTGAACATAAAAATATCCAATTGGAACAGCTAACATCAAATGAATCAGGAATCAGAAGCGTCCATGAAGCGTCTAACCTAAAAACAATGGAATGAATCAAAAATCATCCATTACCTCTGTACACTGATGACAGCGATCAAGAAATAAATAATGACAGTCATATATTTATTATTCGCACATACCCTTGTAAAATCAATCCCAAAATTTTACGAAGAAATTTAACAAGGGATGATCGTTGTCAGTGGGAGGCTGCTATCAGGGATGATATTGTTTCTCTTAATTTAAAAAACACTTAGACGCTTGTAAATAAACCCATCGGCAAAAATATTGTAAACTGTAAATGGATATTTGTCTGTCAAAATTGATGAACAAGGAAATCCCACAAAGTAAGGCAAAATTGGTACCTAGCAAAAGGATTTAGTCAAAAATATTTAATTGATTTCAATGAAACTTTTGCACCAGTCATCCGCATCACCGCATTAAGAGTCATGTTGGCTTTTTCAAATCAGCACCTACAATGAGAAAATTTTGGATTGATTTTCTCTGCTTTTCCATCCATAGACGCGTTTCGACCTATCAGGTCTCATCAGTATGGCTAGGAAAAGCAAAGAAAACCAATCCAAGTTTTGTGCCTGTAGGCAAAATACAAATAGTACGACGAACTGAATTTTCGTCGGCCGATTAGATGGTCATCACTAAATTACAGCAAAAATTGCTGTTTAGTGTTGAATCCTTGTCTTAGATGGCGCCACGATCAAATTTCGACCGTCGTACTAAACCTACAATGTCTGCGTTTAAAAAGTATATCATGAGCGAATTTCGAATGAGGGACTTACAGGATGTTATACTTTTTTTTTGGAATTCGTATCTTGAGAACATTTATTTAAAAACAGTTCTAAACAAAATTGGTTTGTCCGAATGCAAATCGGTAAGCACACCACTAGAAAATAAATTCAATTATGGAGAACTGAAAAGAGATCAGAATTTTAATGTTCCATGCAGAAATTTGATTGGGTGTCTTATGTACGGCATGCTTTGTACAAGGCCATATCTTTGTATTGCAATAAGTACCTTTTCTAAGCAGATTTTAAAACAAAAATAATAATGAGCTTTGGGTATGCTTTAAAAGGGTATTGAGATATGTGAAGTGATCTGTAGATCTTGAATTAACATATAAACGCAATGATAATTATGTTGATATGGTTGAGAGCTATGTTGATTCAGATTGGGGAAATAATGAGCTTTCTTGAATTTCTTTATTCAAATTTGTGAGGGATTCTGCCAAACTTGTTATATAATCATTTGTTAGTTTATTTTCTGTCTGTTCAATTGGGATGGCATAATTCAAATCTTCTTAAATCACTTGAAAAGGGGTGTGATTTATTGTACTATATGAGTACTTTTGTTATAATTCAATATAGTGATTGTCATTAAATCAATAATACTTTTTTCTCCAAACGTCAATAAAACGTCACTTTGTCAGCACCTGTCAAGATGTTAGAAATTTAATTTCTATGCTGGTAGGCAAATCCAACGTGAGAAGAACCACCTATTATAGCTATTTATATAACAAGTACATAAAGTAAGGCTTTATTGTAATAATTTTATGGCCGAGCGAGCTTGCGAGCGAGGCTATTAAATAATGAGTCAATAAAGCCTGTTTATGTATGCGTTATATACATGATTTTATGTACGATTGCGACTGGTTTTTGTTAAAAATTTAAAAAATTCAAAGAAAAAAGTAAAATTCGCGTAGGTATACCTGTTTCACCTTGGCAGGTTGTTGGGACCTGTTTCACCTTGGCAGGTTGTCAGGTAGTCCAGGTAGGCAATAAAGTAGCACTTTATTTTATTAGTACAATAAAGTGCTACTTTATTGACGCAAAACTGTTCTATAAATAGCAGTTTATTGATCAATCGGACATAAAAAATATTATTTCTTCAAAACTCAATTTTTTTTTTAAAAAACGTTTACTGAATAAAATTAAATGTTGCAACCATGTACTGCGCCACAGAGTTTAGGTTTAGGGGACAACGAGGGTACCATCCGAAAGGGAGGTGAAGAAGAATAAGCGATTAGGCTTTGGAATGGAGAACAAGCGGCGGCTCTCCGAGACGCGCGTCTGTAATTATTCATTTTTCAATTTTCATTCCTATTTTGCATTAAAATTAATTGTTCAATTCAATTTGTTATTAGTGTGTGTGTGTAAGGAACGTACAGGTTAGTGGATTAATTATTATTTGGTCTTTGAGAGTTCAATTTACGCAAGTACAGTAGTGTCTCGATAAATGACTCTGTAATCAGGATTTTACTTGATTAGGTAATTCGAATTCATTCACATGACTCTTGAAAATAAAAGCACAGGTTTTCACTTGTCGTTTTGTAACTGCGTTCAAGTGAATAGGTAGTTTTTCACATGTCTACATGCATCATTTAATACGCGGCGTCCTTCCTGACTGTGTGGGCTTTTTTTTAAATGAAAATGGAATCTATTAAACGCAAACACAAAATTTTAAGTCTCAACGAAAAGTTAGCGATTATAGACGAGCTTTCAAATAAATATAAAGTTTTTTTGTTTAAATACTGCCTGTTATTTTTTCAAAATAGTTTTAAAAGCGAACTGTAAAATGCCTTAGTAATCCGAATAATTTGATAATCCGGATTGGTCTAGTTTTAATTGATCCGGATTATCACGACACTACTGTATATTTTTTTTTCCCCAATTTTTATGTTTTTTTTGTTTGTTTATAACTATTTTTTATAACATGTGCATTGTTTATGTATTTAACCAAAATCGTTTCATACTGTAAACAACACAGCTAAAGAGTAAATTAAAACCTAAGAAATTATGTGCTGTCTTTTGTGCTAGGATTTTGATTTTTGGATTTAGAGCGTGCTTTGTTGAATTTACTAACATTTTCCTACCCTGACGAGAGAATATCCTAACAAATTGAAATAATCAATCTAGAGATATTGGCTCAAACTCAACTATAGCTGGGTAGCATCCCGTATGGGACCTCAGTACCTGCTGGGAAGCTGGCTAACTAACCAAAAACTCTTCAGTTTCGAATATAGGTAGTGTTGATTGAATGTTGAGTGTGTAATTGAAATTTTAGCACAAGAACAGGGACGGTACCTAATTTGAACTTTTATTGACCTAAATTATTGAATTAATGACTCACAATGATTATTTACCTAAAATGACACAGTATGTTTCGATTTTTGGGGAATCGAGGTTTTCTCTTCCGTTCTCTTTTTCCTCGTTAATTCCAGGTCGAGAACGGTACGTTTTTCTTTGAAAATAAAGGAGGAGTTTCAAAAATTTTGCGTTTCTTTTACATATTACAGCTTTCCTTAAAGGACATGGCACTAAATATTAGAATCCTGGTGATCGGTCGATTTTATTGAAACTGAAGTATGTTATTCTATACCTGAAAACAAGCATTTTTGCTTATGGTCACTTTTTTGTAGGAGTATGGGATGTTCCAGAAAATTAAGTCCAAAGTTTTTATATGGAATATTTTGTATGAAGCATAAATTATGTTTATCTAATCTGTTATGTATTTTTGCAACTTATACATTAAAGACAAAGATATTTATGTAGTTAAGAACAAAAATTATTATACAGGGTGTCTCAACAATTTTATTTTAAACCAAACTACACCCTAAAGAAAGCCAATAACCAAAATAACGGTTAAAAAAAAATTGAGTTCAAAAGTTTATATCAAATGTTTGATGTATCGGTTTAGTGATTTTGAATATGTATTAGTCTGTTGTATTAACAACACAGTTAGAGCCAGTTTCACAAACAGTGGTAACCCAACAGTAAACAAAAGACACTGGTAACTTACAATATATCTGTTTCATAATGTG